AACAGCCCCGAACCCGTGAATCACTTCAAGACTTCAAGACTTCAAGACCTGATTTGACCTGAACGAAGATGAAAACCTTGAAATTGAAGTCAAGGTCGAATGTGCTCCTAACGGCTACCGGTCAACACATCCCGAAAGTTAGTCCAATGGAGGGAGAGTCAAAGCACTTTGAACCAGAAAATGAAACGCCACAAGAAATATCTAGTACTGCCGAGGCGACGTCACAACAGGATACTAGTGAGCGAAAGGATGACGATGAAGAGGAGGAGGAGGAAGAGGAAGAGGATCGAATCGTTGAGAAATCCCATAACAGTCGATTCCATAAACGGAATAAGCGTTTTCCCAAACAAATGGAAGGTGTAGACAATGCGTTTATTGCAATAGAGCCAAAGTCTGGCAAAGAGGTTATTTGGAATGAATGTATTTTGTCAGAAAAGAAAACTGATAAGGAGGTTTGTTTACGCATGTGGTCATTCCTTCCTTTTTAGAATAGATATTTGTCGATTATAAAAAAACTAAAAAAGAGTTCTCACCCGTTCCTGGCACGGTTTCTTGACGCTTGGGTTGCAAGATCTGAGGATGGATCAAGGAAGCTTGTTTTCATTACTGAACGTTTAGACGAATGTTCGCTGAAGCAGTTTTTGTGCAATTCGGCCAAGAATAACAGGGTTTGTTCTTTTTATTAAAAGACCTACCGTTTGCAGTTATGGAAGCGACATGTTGGACAAATTCTATCTGTCCTAATGTTTTTACACCGCTTGGGCATAACTCACGGCAATCTATCAAAGGAGTCCATTTATTACCAGAACTCTGGAAATTTACGAGTTGGGCCATGTAAATCACATATTCTTAGCTTATAAAAATGTAGTCGCTCTTGGTGGGTGCCTGGACCAAAAGTCTCAGTCTGCTGATTTCCATGCTTTGGGAGTCGTAGCTCTCGAGGTAAGAGTTCGAAATTAAGTGACTCATCTCCACAGATCGCCATCTGGACCCCCACTGAGTTTCCTCAAACCCTTCCACTCAATGAAAGATGCCAACAAATGTTGGCAAAGTTAGAAGATTGTGCGCAAAGAGATTTTATTGAAGTGTGCTTAGACCCTAGTCCAAACGCTCGGCACAAGATGAAGCGTTTGGTACACCATCCGGCAGTCACTGAGGTGCCGATATTAAAGCTTCTTTCGGCGAAAACAATCGTTGAAGCGAGTGAGTTATCGCTAATTACAAGGACATTTAATTTTTTCATGCCATCTCAGATCGACATTGATTATTGATTATTGATTATTATGCGATACGTTATATAAACGTAGATTATA